ACCTAGATGTCCATCAACAGATGAATGGATAAAGAAGATGTGGAGATATATATATATATATATATAATGGAATATTATGCAGCCATCAAAAGAAATGAAATCTTGCCATTTGTGACGACGTGGATGGAACTAGAAGGTATTATGTGGAGCGAAATAAGTCAATCAGAGAAAGACAACTATCATATGATCTCCCTGATATGAGGAAGTGGAGATACAACGTAGGGGGTGTGGGGGTAGGAAAAGAATAAATGAAACAAGATGGGATTGGGAGGGAGACAAACCATAAGAGACTCTTAATGTCACAAAACAAATTGAGGGTGGCCAGGGGGTGGGGGGCAGGGAGAGGGTGGTGGTGTTATGGACATTGGGGAGGGTATGTGCTATGGTGAGTGCTGTGAAGTGTGTAAACCTGGTGATTCAGAGACCTGTACCCCTGGGGTTAATAATACATTATATATTAATTAAAACAAAAATTCTCTCCCCCCTGCTCATACCCACTCTCTTAAATAAATAAATAAAATTTAAACAAATAAATATAAAAAAAGAAAGATCCTAAACCAGCATAGAAAACTGGCAAGTTATTCTGCCCGCAAAACCTCTTCTACTATTGGCTGAACAGAAAAATATTTAAATATATTTTTGAATATTTGATATATTTGGTAAATTTCAGTCTAGTCAGTGATAAGAAAGGATTTTCTTGTTTGTTTGTTTAAAGGCATGACTTTCCTGGAGGGAAATTTTTAAACATTAGAGTATAAATTGCACATATCTCTATGATAATTCTGTTTTCATTTCCTTGAATATATGCCCAGAAGTAGAATTGCTGGATCATGTGGTAGTTCTATTTTCTAATTTTTTGAGAAACCTCCATACTGTTTTCCATAGTAGCTATACCTAATTTACATTCTTCGCATTCGAACTATTCAAAGTTCTAGTGGCTTGACGCTGAGATGCTGAGTATAATTCCCAGAGGAGTGTTAATTCCCCTTTTTCCATATTCTGGGCAATTCTTGTTATCTCTTGTCTTTCTGATGTTTAACAGGTGTGAGGTAATTGTCGTTGTGATCTTGATTTGTGTTTCCCTGAGATTAGTGATGTTGAGAACCTTTTGATGTTCCGTTGGCTATTTGGATGTTTTCCTTGGAAAAATCTCTATGTAGTTCCTCTGCCCATTTTTTTAATTAGAATTTTTTATCTATTAAATTGTGCTTCAAAGGAACTGTCAAGAAAGTGAAGGTGAGAAAATATTTGCAAATCATATCTCATCAGGTATTTGTATAAAACTCATTAATAAAAAGACAACTATCCCAATTTGAAAACAACCAAAGGATCAGAATAGACATTTCTCCAAAGATATTCAAATGGTCAATAAACACATGAAAAGATGCTTAATATAATTAGTCACTAGGGAAATGTAAATCAAAACCATATTGAGATACCACTTCACACCCATTGTATTAAATTGTATGAGTACTTTATATATTTTAGATACTAACCCCATATCAAATATATGATTTGCAAATATTTTCTTTGGAACCACACTATTAATGTAGCCTTGGAGTAAGCTTTGAAGCTTTGAAGAAATTGTGACAGCTCTAATTTTATTCTTCCTTTTTTGAAGACTGTTTTGACTAATTCTGGGTCCTCCTTAAATTTACACTTGAATTTTAGGATTAAGTTGTAATTATCAGTTGCTGAAAAAAAATGCCAGTTTGGATTTTGGTGAGGATCATACTGGATCAATTTGTGTTCCTGTTATTTTTGTTCTCATAACTTCCTTTATACAGTAGTAAACATACTGTTTAATTAGGATGACAATGGTTAAAAAAAAAAAAAAAGAAGACAGTAACGAGTGTTGGGCAAGGATGTGAAAAAATTGGAACCTTCAGAAAATCACTGGTAGGTATGTAAAATGGTGCAGGAACTTTGGAAAAACACTTTGGCAGTTTCTTAACAAGTTAAATTTAACCACAGGACCTACCAATTTCAAACTCAGAAATCTATCCAAAAGAAATAAAAATATGCACATGTAAAAAAGTTGTACACTCATGTTCATAATAGCATTAGTAATAGCCATAACATGGAAATAACCCAATGTCTATCAATAAATGAGTGGATATGGGATGCCTGGGTTGCTCAGTCAGGTAAGCATTGCCTTCATCATGATCCCGAGGGTCCTGGAATCGAGTCCAGCATCGGGTTCCTTGCTTAGCAGGGAGCGCTTCTCCCTCTGCCTGCTGCTCCCCCTGCTTGTGTGCTCTCTCTATCTGACAAATAAATGAATAATATCTTTAAAAAAATTATATGAATGGATAAAGAAAATGTGGCATATATGGACAATGAAATATTATTTAGCAATAAATATAATACTGATCTATGCCACAACATGGATGAACTTTTAAAAACATTAAGTGAAAGAATCCAGTCACAAAAGACCACCTATTATATTGTACAATTCCATTCATATGAAATGTCCAGAAGAAGCAAATGTATAGGGATGGAAAGTAGATTACGGTTGCCTAAGGCTAGGGGGAATTGAAAGACTGGAAGAAAAAGAGGGGTGACTGCTAGTTGGTATATTTCTTTTGAGGTGATGAAAATATTCTTAAGTTGAATGTGTTGATGGTTGCCCAATTCCACAAATATACTAAAACCAATGAATCATATCATATATTTAAGTAAGTGAATTGAAGGATATGTAAATTGTATCTCAAAAAGTTATTAAAAAAATACAAACAGAAGAATTACTTGTCTGGGGAAACCACATATCCCAAGAATGCTAACTCACACAATGTCTTATTTATCCTGTATATGTACCCGAAGGGTAATGGAAACCCACTGAAGAATTTTTAAATAGGGTAATGTCCTAATTAGATATGTCTTTTGCAAGGTTTGATGAACAGACTGGAAGAGAGCAAAACTGAACTTGAGAGATCAGTTAAGACTAGAGTCTGGAAAGGGATAATGGGACTCAAGAGACATTGGGAATTAAGATCAATAGAACTAATGACTGGTTCTGAGATGTGATAGTACTACAAGTTTTCTGCTTTGTAAAACTGTATGTATGGTGATGCCATTTACTGGGATAGGGAATAATAAAGATGTTACTATTGTTGTAGTTGTTAGTTTGCAAGAGGGATGTGTGTCAGTTTATAATATAGTCATTCTAGATGTCTTTACATTATCCAAATAAAGGTCAGATTAGGAGAGCAAAGATAAACCAGAGGTAGAAGATACACATTGGGTTTAACCAGTGTAAGTAAAAATGAACCATTTAAGAACAAAAGACACTGCTCAGGAAGAAACAGAAAGAAAAAAGAGGGAGTAAAATGGAACTGAGCAGAATACATCAACATTTAAAGAGTAAACAGAAAAAAATGAGCTGGCAAATAAGACAAGTGGTCTTAGGAAAGTGGTCTTAGGAAACAGCCAAGAGAGGGTGTCATGAACACTAAGAGGGAAAGTTTCAAGGATAACTTAGATAGCACTGAAAGTTGCTTTTCAAAGTAAAGTAAAGTGAATAATGAAAAAATGTCATTTGGACCTAGTTAACAATGAAGATTGTTAAGGTCTTTAGCGACCTTAGAGAGGAGCAAATCTGGAGGGATGATCAAACAGAAGCCAGACTGGAATAAGTTTAATATTGAGTAGAGGGGCACCTGGGTGGCTCAGCCCTGTAAGTGTCTGACTCTTGATTTTGGCTCAGGTCATGATCTCAGGGTCATGAGATCGAGCCCTGCATCAGGCTCCATGCTTATTTCTTGTTTGTTTTAATATTAGTCCATTACCTTTTTTTTTCTTTACCATATAACCATATTTAATTATAGTATTCTAAAATGAAATAACTGTACATTTTTTTGGTTTTATTTATAACCAGAATACCAAATTCAACTGTGCTATTACCATCACATTAACAATTCATCTATAATACTTCTGTATTATAGTTTAAAAGTCAAAAGGAACACCTATACATATATCATCTTACATGATGAGTTTCAAAACTACCCACTATACTTGTATAGGTAAACAATCATTTATCATATATCCAAATTTTGCCTCCGCACATCTAGAAGGCATACCATTTATTTAGAGAATTTTATTCCACATTACTTCTTAACTGTGGCATACTGTTTGCAAAGATGGCTTCAACAATCCTTCCCATCCTTGTGTGCACTACCATTTATATTGTGACTTCTCCATTCCCACTATCAGAATTGAAATCTATTTCTTTTCCTTATCAATATGGGCTGGCCCTGTGATATTCTTTGTCCTATAGATGTCACATCAAATGACTTCCTAATGTAAATTTCAAGAGACCTTATAGCTCTCACTCTTGCCTTCTTGGAATACGAAGAAGCTCCAGCGAGCTTGCTGGAACACGAGAGATCACAGGGGAAAAGGCCCAGCCAACAGTATGATCTCCCAGACATGACAGTGAGGTCATTTTAGACCATCTACCCCTAGCTGAGTCATCAAATGAACACAGCTATATGAGGGACCCTAACTGAGATCAGCAAATTGTCTACCTGAGCCCAACTCAAACTTTTAACCTACAGAATCATGAGCAAATAAAACAATTGTTTTAAAATACAGTCTGAAGAAATAACCTAATTTTTAATTTTCTTTTTCTATTTTAAAAACACAGGAAAAAATGAATATATAAACTTACCACTTTTCTCATGGAAAAATCACAAGTAATATCACTTTTACTTATCACATTATTTTGCACCTAAACTTAAGCTTCTTTAAAACAAAATTATCAGAGTCTTATGGTTCAGCCATTCATTCATTTATTAATTACATACTATGTGTCAGAATAACTCCAGACACTGACCATCTATTAGTGAACAAAGGAGATTAAAATCTCCACCCGCACTGGGGAGATATGGATAACCCAAATCCAAAATATATTATCTTCTGATATGTAAGAATTATAACAACATTTATATTTTCCAAGGGAAGAACATGTAAAGAGAAATGTTACCAATAATCACTCTTACCCTCATGCCAAGCACCAAGAACCCAATCTCTTCCATTAATGGGTACTTGCTGACCTGTTGCTTAATCTTCTCAGATGAGGCAAAAGGATCATAACTCTTTCGCCCTATCTTTACATCCATTATACAGGGCTTATTAAATTTATGGGTCACATCTTCCAGTTTTAAGTATAAATCTGTTATTAAAGAAAAACCTTAATTAGTAATAGGAAAACATATTACTACCCAAATAACTTCCACAGGAAAACAAAATGAGAAAATCTTAAAACTGAGAAAAAAGTTAAAATAAAACCAGAGTCAACAATTATTATTATTCCAACTGAAAGAAGAAGAAAAAACCGACCAACAAATTTATAACAAGTATAAATATCACAGAGAAACTCTTGCAGGAAGTGATTAAATTAATATTCAATCAGCAAAAGGATGAAATAGATATAAGGTTCCTAAGGACATTAAAATGAGATTATTCAAAAGCTTGTTCAGAATGCATTCCCCTTTTGAATACATTTTATGTCATCTGTGCTTCAGTAGATCTCTTAGTATTTTAATAATTCCTAAAAATTTTCATTTAAAATTAATAGTAGGAATAAATCCTTCCCACAGAGTACACAACAGAAGCATAGTTTAAGAAAGTAAATCTATCTAGGGGCGACTGGTTGGCTCAGTCGTTAACTGTCTGCCTTTGGCTCAGGTCATGATCTCAGGGTTTTGGGATAGAGCCCCGCACCGGGCTCCAAGCTCAGCAGGAAGCCTGCTTCTCCCTCTCCCACTCCCCCTGCTTGTGTTCCCTCTCGCTGTGTCTGTCTCTATCAAATAAATAAATAAAATCATTAAAAAGAAGGTAAATCTATCTACATTATGGTCACTGCCAAATACACATTCTAGTCTTACTAGTCTCAAAAGAAAAATAAGTATCTTGCTTTTTAGAATATAAGCATTCGTCAAAAAGTTCATCTGTAAACTACTTTGGCATCCTGCATACATCTTCCCACAGAAAACTACTATAAATGGAGATTCAGGTAAAAAATTATAAAAGTTTTAGTTACTAAATACTGTAACTGAACTAATTATAGCTTAACTTGAAAGTAAAGTCTAGGTACAGAGGGAAGAAAGGAAAGAAATTCTTTACTTGATGAAAGCATCTTCCCAAAGTTCTGACTGAAATCATAACTTTCAGTTATGAATATGTGAAGCATTTCTCCTAAAAACTTTTTCTCAAAAACAGAAAAGATTTTATCTGCTTTTTACTAAAATAGCAAAGTTAGAGAAGATATGTATTTTTTATGAATAAAAGGCTACCAGAGAAAAAAGACTTGCCCTATTTTCCTTTACCTTGACCCACACCAAGCAGTTATTAAATTACAACAAAGAAGGCTGTGTTGAACTAAAAATGAGAACAATCCTCATAGAGCTTGTGAAAGTTTTAAGCCCTCAGATTCAAGGGGCATAAATCTTTTCCTTGAAAGGATAAGAAATAGGGGCGCCTGGGTGGTTCAGTGGGTTAAAGCCTCTGCCTTCCGCTCAGGTCATGATCTCAGGGTTCTGGGATCGGGCCTTGCATTGGGCTCTCTGCTCAGCAGGGAGCCTGCTCCCCGCTCCTTCTCTCTGCCTGCCTTTCTGTCTTCTTGTGGTCTCGGTCTGTCAAATAAATAATAAAATAAAATCTTAAAAAAAAAAAAAAAGGGTAAGAAATAAAGAGGTAAGTTTTATCCCTTAGTAAAAGGAAGATGGGGGCAAGGTCATGATTTTGTAGAACCAGGTGAAGTCAAGCCCAAATATGACAAAAAACTATAGCCTAAGAAACCAGCACTGGCACAGCAGAAAAAGTAGGACACATTTTAAAAAAGGACTCTCACAAACAGACATGTGCAGTAAGAGAAAACAAAAGGTCTGGACACAGACACAGGACTGTTGACAATGAAAAGTAAGGGCACTGTGGGAATATTCTGATCAAGAAATTGGAACCCACCCAAGATTCTGTGCTTTCAAAGATAACAACAGGATGGGATGAGAAGATGGGGAAGAAAGCAGTACAGAACCATCCCCTTTGTATTCTCTCCTCTCATCTCCAGCTGCCTTGAGTGAAACTAAAGGAAACTTATCCAACTTTTTGCTACAGCTATGTAAAAATTTCAGTAACAAGGTTTATATTTCAAATATCAGAAAAAACTAATTAGAACCTAATACAGTAAATCCCTGACATACACAAGTGTATCATTACTTTCTGTAACTGAAAGAGACCTCAAAAGTCTTGAGGAGAGTATAAAGATAGTGTGTGAACTTAGCTAACTATCATAGCATCTTTATCTCAGTGTAGGATTATTATTTTCTACTTGCCAATTTGGTAGTGATTAAAAACAAACAATAAACTGTTTCTTGTAATAATTGGAGATGACAGAAGCAAGAGTAGATTACAAACCATAATATAAAATCTCTATTTCCTCTTCCCCTCTTGGGAAGGAGGAAAATACAAATGCAAATCCCATATATAGTAGGAATACAATAAATGTTTGCTGAATGAATGAATGTTTTCTCATTCTACTGCCCAGAGAGACTTTGGATTTGGCCTTACTAACACTGTAATAACTGAGTCATTCCTTCAGTAAACAGGCCTTAGCATCTTGGGTTTTATTTGACATATATTTCAACTAGCCAAATGTGTTTTTCTTTACTTTCAGGTTTTTTTTTTTTTTAAAGATTTTATTTATTTATTTGACAGACAAAGATCACAAGTAGGCAGAGAGACAGGCAGAGAGAGAGAGGAGAAAGCAGGCTCCCTGCTGAGCAGAGAGCCCGCTGCGGGGCTCGATCCCAGGACCCCAGGATCATGACCTGAGCCAAAGGCAGAGGCTTTAACCCCACTGAGACACCCAGGCGCCCCTACTTTCAGGTTCTTGATATGGGATATATGACTCAAATTACCAAACAACTGCTAGAATATTATTAACCTTAAGTTAATAACTCTTTTTTTAAAAATTTTTAATTTTTTTATAAACATATAGTGTATTATTAGCTCCAGGGTAAGTTAATAACTCTTAAATTAAAACCTGCTGAGTTGGCTTAGTGTTTTTCTTTTAGTTCCCTGGCCTTGATTTTTTTTTTTTTTTGTAGGTGAAACTAAGAATTTGAGACTGTAATTTCTATCCTTCCCTCTTAGTTGTAAAAATAAACATCAAAACCTGCTGCAGAGATGCAGTTTTTTTTTTTTAAGGCTATAATGTCATATATCTAGCAGCTTGCCACAAGTACTTCTGAATGAAATAGATAAATAGGAAAATGGGACATGATCTGAGCACTGACACCTTTACAGATTTTTTTTTAACAGGTTGTTATCACTAGACTTAAGTCTGAATATTAATTCTTTCTGCAAAATGCTATTAGCAAATTATTTCACTAGCATACAGCTTAATTCAAAATAAGTCAATCTTGAGATTCAGTAACTTAAATGCTCAAAGGCATTTTACTACAGGGGAGTTTCACTTGTAAAGCAATGTCACAGACTGGATAACAAAGGATGCTTTTTCAGCCAGGGCCCTCTGGCTATAGAATGGAGTAGTATTTTTTAATTTTCAGGTAAACAGAAAATATGTTCTAAAACTCATCCGGGGTTTTTGCCACCCTGGGTGGCTCAGTCAGTTAAGAGTCTGCCTTTGGCTCAGGTCATGATCTCAGGTTGCTGGGATCAAGCCCCACATCGGGCTCCCTGCTCAGCGAGGAGCCTGCTTCTCCCTCTCCTGCTCCCCCTACTTGTGCTGTCTCTCTCCCTGTCAAATAAATTAAAAAAAAAAAAAAATCTTAAAAATAAATAAATAAAACTCATCCAAAAAATCGGATGGACTAAGAGTTCTATCTGGAATATTTTTAAGTTCATTCTGACCAAGGTCAAGGAAATAAATGAAACTACTTTCATACAATGTTTGGAAAATAATTACGATATGATTATTTAATATGATGTAACTTGTAAGATATGATTTTGAATGAAGAGAGGTGATTTTTACACATACATGTGTATAACTGTATGTTGCATACATCATAAAGATTGATAGAATAATAACTAGATTTACTTTTTTAAATTCTGAAAACCTCTATTTAAGACAACAGATACTGATAAAACCAGTCTGCCAGAGGTCAAAGGACTGGCATTTATGAAACTCAGATCTAAGGAAATATTCTATAATAATTGTATAATAAATAAAAAGCCATCTACTTTTCAGAAATACATGGAGCTCATTATAAGAGATCACAATGACTAGAAATACAGTTAAGAGGCTATGGCTATAAGAGATAAATCCATTATTTATCTACTAATTCATGGAAGAATACACAGAATTTCTATAATTCATTAATTTTTTGAGGCCAAGATCATGAAAATAACTACCAGATATTCAGAAATATACCACTTCATGCTGTTATAAGCAGATTACTAAGTAAAATTTCTCAGTGGCTTTACCAATGACATGGTTAGCATGCTCAAAATATTATATACTTCATGCTGTTGACGACAGTATAGGATTGCCCAAGGTTACTATGGCTGAAGGAAGCTTCCTGTTTTAAATATATTTTCTAACTAAATATGTATAATTAAATATAATTACCTTTAATATAAATTAAATGTAATACATTGCTTTGTAATACATTATGCATAAAAAATTCCTATAGCAAATTTTCTACTGCTGGAATATAATCCTGACACTCTAAGAAAGGGGCAGAAAATTCCCAGTATCCAGAGAAAAAAGTAGAAACATTTGAAATACTGTGGAAAAACTGAAAGACCTACATATAACTAAACAGTAAAGATAGTTTCTTTAAAGGAAGGACAAGGGAGAGGGCATTCAGGGAGTTGAAGGAAGATTTATTTAGATGCTCTTATACTAAATATTACTGATTGTATAAATTATGAGAATATGAGTTCCAAGTTTCATCAAATTCTTCCCCACCATCTCCAGAAAGTCCAGTAGGTATAGATTACTATCTTCATTTCTGAACCTCTCAAAAAAGGAGAAAAGGCCAGATGAGGAGCTCCCGCCCAACTAGGAAGCCATATGGAAAAACAGAGAAGGCCTTTTGCTTCTGCTTTCAACTGCAATCATTGGTCATTTCTAAAGGCAAGATAAACTGAAAGTAGAAAGAATCACAGGCAGAGATCTTGAGCTTCCAAATTTGACCTCAGTGTATAGGAGCTGATTTCAGTGAATGCTTCCTAAAATTTGACTAGTAGCTAGATCCAGAAACCCAACAATTAATCAAGCTGGAAAGTACATTTAAAAACTCTCAATTTGCTCAAGCCCACTTAAAGATATACTTTTCTATCTCCCTAGATAACTATCAATAAAATCTTTTTGATGGTATATATCCTAGGCATCGTATGTTTATATAGATAAGGATGAGATTTAATATATGTAACTAACTCAAAATCTTCAAAGATAATTTATAAATGTTTTAACTTTAAAAAAAAATCTATTGGTCATGTTCTAAAATTAGCTAATGGTGATGATTTTACAGCTCTATGAATATATTAAGAACTACTGAATTATATACTTTAAATGAGTGGGTTTTATGATACATAAATTATATCTTGATAAAGCTATCATAAAAAAATCAAAAGGAAAAAACCTTATTGGTCAGCATGATCTTACACTTAAGTTACAATAATTTACTAAGCAAATTTGCAGTACTTTCTACATTTTACTACTCTGGGCTGTAAGAACTATATCAAGTTTATAAAACCACCATGAGCACCTGAAAAATAATAAATAATTTATAAAACTACTATAAGCACCTGCCCGGTGGGTGGGTGGGGGAGGCCAGTTATTCCTACGTAAAATACAGTAATGCAAACCACAGTGTTCTAAAATTTAAGAAAATATTTGGTTTCATGATATAAATATTTATATTTGTTTCATTATCAAAAGGATAACAGAAAAACGATCCCATAAATTCTCTAAAAAAAGCTAAACACCTGCATAGTGCAGCAATTTTTGTGTAACTTCCTCCAGAGCAAAAAAATTGAAAAGCAATAGGACTACCAAGGCAACTGTTCAATTACTAAACCACTCTATATACAGATACTTTTTTATTCTTGTCCTTTCCACCCTTTTATTTACATTTTCTCCTCTCTTCTCTCATTTTCCTCACCTCATTTTCTTATCCCAGTAGCACCAATTTCTCCATAAGAGAAATTCAAATAAGAATATTAGAATTTTCAAAGCATTCTTATATAACATGCAACTCCTCAAATCTATGTGGTATTATTTTCAATTTATAAAAGAACAAATAGAGTTCAAAAAGGTTAATGAGTTGGGGTGCCTGCGTGGCTCAGTGGTTAAGTGTCTGCCTTTGGTTCAGGTCATGATCTCAGGGTGCTGGGATGGAGCCCTACATCGGGAGTCATGCTCAGCGGGGAGCCTGCTTCTCACTCTTCCAGTCCCCTACCTTGTGTTCCCTTCTCTCGCTGTGTCTCTCTGTCAAATAAATAAATAAAATCTTAAAAAAAAAAAAATGTTCATGATTTAACCAACTTCACAAAATTTGGAAAAAAATCGAGGTAAAACCAAGTCTTTTGGGGCGCCTGGGTGGCTCAGTGGTTTAGCTTCTGCCTTCGGCTTGGGTCATGATCCCAGAGTCCTGGGACCAAGCCCCACATTGGGCTCTCTGCTCGGCAGGGAGCCTGCTTCCTCCTCTCTCTGCCTGCCTCTCTGCCTGCTTGTGATCTCTGTCTGTCAAATAAATAAAATCTTTAAAAAACAAAAACCCAAGTCTTTTGACTTCAAACTACTCTTTCTATTTTAGTATAGATGTCTCTCTATTTAGTACTGAGGACCAAGAAGATTGTTAATTGCTAGTAAGTCCTTAATTTTTAAATCATATGCTAGTAATTCCAAGCTATAAAATGTTATTTTTAATTAAAATATTTCTTCTTACCCAGATTCTTTCTATTTACTCTACTTTTCAAAATAATGATGCTGTTTGCTCAGTTATTCTACCCCTTCCTAACAACGTTTTTAAAATGAGTATTTTCTTATCTAAATGTTGACTACAGTACCATCCTCAGTGACCTCTGTTAATCTTTCACTGTCACTTTAACGATGAGTAATGATTTGCTCAAAATTAAATAGCAACCAGTGGCAAAGTTTAATGGAATCCAGTTATTTTACGTTACAACGGAAACCTCTATGAAGTAAGGTGATCATAAAGATTTGTGAAATAACTTAAGTAATATGGTGATCTCAATCAGGATATACTGTATATTTGGGACAAAAAGACAAAGAAGGAAGGGAAAGAGAAAGGAAAGAAATAAAGGGAAAAAAGAAAGAAGGAGGAAGACTAAAGCTAAACTCACTCATTTTTTTTTTCATATTACTGAAATACAGAAGAATCCTAAATACCCGGGGAATCATAGATTTACTATTACCTAACTGAGGATACCCAGGAAGATACCATGATTCCCTACAAATGACACTTCCTTACCTAGTAAATAAGTAGAAGAAAAACAAAACTGATGAACAAGCCCAAGCTGGAGCTCCTTCTCTCCCTCTTCTCAAAATGCAGTTCAAGTACTAGCTACATCAAAAAAAGTGTAGCTTTTTTTTTAACAAGCATATCACTAAACTCTAACATTAATCTGCATAATCAAAACACTGCGAGTTGAGCCTATTAATTTGCATTTTAACAAGCCTCTGGGTTATTCTCAAACTCAGTCAAGTTTGAAACTCTTCACTTATTCATGAATGATTCTTCAATCATTAAGCAGTCATGCTACTTGTTTAATTCTGCTCTGTCAAAGGCTTCGAAAAGGCAAATACTTCTTCAAGTATTCATTAAGAAAGAGATGTGCCCTTACATAGATCATTTTGTCCTCTAACCACGAAACTTAGCAGTATTTTTTTAAGACTGTGATTTTTTTAAAGAGAGGGAGAGGGGAGCAGAGGGAGAGGGAGAGAGAGAATCTTAAGCAGGTTCCACACCCAGCATGGAGCTCAATCTCACAACCCTGAGATCATGACCTGAAATCAAGAGTCAGATTGACTGAGATACCCAGACGCCCCTAGAAGATTGCAATTTAAAGCCTAGAACGAGACAGAGGAAGTTATGTAAACAAAATATTTTTCTTGGTTTTCCTACTCAAAATGGAAAAAGAAATTGCCCAATAAATAAGGAAAAAAGAACATTTATAAATTCACACAGTATTAAGTACAATAGATTTTTTGTTCAATTATAAGAAATTGATCATTAATTTTTTTTAAAGACATTTATTTTAGAGAGAAAGAGTGTGCACATGTGAGTGTAGGGTGGTGGGAAGGGGCAGAAGGAGAGGAAGGGAGGGAGGGATAGAAGCAGACTCCCTGCTGACCTCAGAGCCAACAGGGCGCCGGATGTCATGACTCAGATCATGACCTAGCTTACATCAAGAGTTGGATGCTCAACCGACTAAGCCACCTAGGTTTCCCATTGGTCATTAACGCTATACACCATTTAAGAAACTGGGTATGAAAAACAAAAGCAGGGGTACCTGGGTGGCTCAGTCAGTTAGTTAAGTATCTGCCTTTAGCTAAGCTCATGATCCCAGATCCTGGGATGGAGCCCCACATTGGGCTCCCTGCTCAACAGAGAGTCTGCTTCTTCCTCTCCCACTGCCCACCCCACAAATGATCACACTTGCTCTCTCACTTTCTCTTTCAAATAAATAAATAAAATCCTTAGGAAAAAAAAAAAAAGAAAGAAGTACAATTCCCTTAATGAAGTAAAGAAAAGATCAGAAAGAAAACCACATATATTCTGTCTGTATAAAACTAGGCTTAAATTTATATAAAGGCATTTAAAAAGACACTCTCAGGTAATGATCTCAGGGTCCTAGGATCGAGTCCCACATCAGACTCCCCTGCTCAGTGGGGAGTCTGCTTCTCTCTCTACCCCCAGCTCCCCATGCTTATATACTCTCTCTCTCAAAAACAAATAAAATCTTTAAAAATAATTTTAAAAATCAAAATAAAAAGTCACTGTCATGAATTAATAGTAAAGAACAGATTTTTAAGAAAAGATTACCATTTGGTGCAGTGGGAGGTGACCAGATACCGTAATATTTTGGCAAATATTTTCGTAGCTCTAAAAGAATACCATCAGTACAGTCAGCAGCATAAACCTGAAACAGAGAGAAATATAACATTTGCATGGCAGTTTCTTATAATGCTTTATAATTGCCCTACACATTTCTCAAATAAAATGATACTGGTGACTCATAATCTATCTCGTATTGAGTTTCAATTGGAAATACATTTGGAAGCAAAAAAAAAAAAAAGATTACTTTGTGTCTCCAACAAAAAAGTATGATTGTTTAGAGCACATTTTTCTTGGTTATCTAATTCTAGCCTTTCACTGTCCTTGAACTATTTTACAACTAAGTTGTAGATAAAGCTTCAACAAATGCAAAATAATTCTTGTCCATGGAAATGTAAAAAAATTCTGGCCGGAAGAAGTTCAGCTCACTTTCTTCCACCCTCCACCACCCCTCATGGGAGGGCAGAAGATATATACTTATTTCAACTTCCCTTTAATTCTTATAAATTTGTGTTTCTTTGGATTCTCTTTTGAACCAGTTTCAATATCTGCTTAGTTCCCTCATTATATAATGAGTTTACCAAAATCTTTAACACATATTCATTTTATATCTGTAAGGGTGTTATGGGTGTTTTAGAAGATTTTATTTATTTATTTGACAGAGAGAGCACAAGTACCGGGAACAGCAGAGGGAGAGGGAGAAGCAGGCTCCCTGCTGAGCAGGGATCCGGGTGCAGGGCTCAGTCCCAGGACCCTGAGATCATGACCTGGGCTGAAGGCAGATAGTTAATTGACTTAACACAGGCACTCGGGAGTTATGATTTTACCTTTAAAAAATTATCCTTTAATTATTTGTCATTTAATTCCTTGATGTATAACCAGTAATAATTCTAGAAAATACTAGAAATGTTCACATATCCTGGAACTAGATTCTTAGTTTTTTCCCTAGAAGAGTAGGGAAAGAAAATATTTTTGGTTTAAAAACAACTTGTAAAACATATTATCCAATGAATTCTCACAATACGGTCTACCCAATTATCCAAAACCATTAAAGTTCACTGGTGTAAAATGTTTGTGAAATCTCAGTATTACAATTCTATTTGTCAAGCCATATTCATGTCTAGTAGTTATACATAAAACAATTCTATAAAATAAACTCAAGTGTGACAGAGACTCACTAAATATCCATGTGATAGACTGTATTACCCAGTTTTCCCTATTGAAATGTGAGCAGAAGTGGTATTAGTCAACTCTAGGCCAAGGTAAGTAAGGGAAGGGTATACCTTACCAACCCTTTGTTCCTGGCATAACATCAGTGAGGGCACAGTGTTCATGAAGACATAACAACAGGATGGAGGAACCAAGTATATATCTATGTTAATATAGACTTGAAATCCATGATATATTTTTAAGTAAAAAAGATAAAAGAACTGGAAGAGTATATATAAAAGGTAAACTTTCTCTTCTTACTTTAAATATGGGGGGGGAGAGATGATTAAAAAAAAAAAATTTCTACCTGGAAAAATGTAGGATAAAATATAATAAACATTTTCTTAAATGTATACCTGAGCTCCCAAGGAAGAGAAAAGGAAACTCATAGGGGTCTGAAATAAAGAGGGAACCAAAAGCATTAAACTGAGCAGTAATGTTTGGGCTTCATAAAGGTCTACTTTGAAGATCTGAACCAAAAGATCTCTTTGGTTCTCACAGATGAAGACAGAGTTACTATACTGAAACAGGGAGAGTAAAAGAAAATCTAATTATGAATTGTAAAAACCCTGTCATCTTCTCCCTTTCCCTACCATTACACTCTAAAAATGCCAGGGACCAAAATAAATAAATAAATAAATAAAATAAAAATGCTGGGGGCCAAACTGATCAACAAAAAGACAGAAGCAACAAATAAACAATATTAGGAATATAAAAGAAGTCATATGTAATCCAATTATATTTTGCTATCACAATGACAGAAAAGTCAAGATATTAAAAAACAGAATCAGTGGTTAAAAATATATCCCTTCCCAGGGGCACATGGGTAGCTCAGTAGGTTAAGCATCCAACTCTTAGATTCAGCTCAGGTCCTGATCTCATGGCTCCTAAGATCAAGTCCTGTGTCCAGCCAGCTCCATGCTCAGCAGGAGTCTGCTTCAATATTCTCTCCCTCTGCCCCTTCTCATGCTCACACTTTCTCTTTCAAATAAACAAATAAATCTTTAAAAAAGAATCCAGGAAAGAAGGAATGAAATGAAAAAAAGGATATTAAAAAGAAAAAGGAAAAAAGACAACTGGCTATAATGATACAGTTAAATTCTCCTGAGTCCTTAAGGAGGGGCACCTGGGTGCCTTATTGTTAAGTGTCTGCCTTTGGCTCAAGTCATGATCCCAGGGTCCTGGGACTGAGCCCCACACAGGGCTCCCTGCTCAGCAGGAATAAATAAATCTTTAAAAATAAAAATAAAAAAATAAATAAATCTTTAAAAATGAATAGGTGAATGAATAAATAAATAAAATGAATAAATAAATGAATAAAATCTTTTTTTTAAAAAGCCCCTAAGGAACAAAATCCTTATCTGACAGAAATTCTTCCATGAAAAAGAAAAAGAAATGCCCCTCCTTTTATGAAGATATAAGAAATCTGATATCAAAGTTAGACAAGGAAAATATGTGAATAAAATAATTTAATCTCATTTTTGGGAATAGGTTGAAAAAATATTAAATAAAACACTAGCAAACAAAATCCAGTAATGCATATTATTAAGAAAAAATTAGAAGGACATGTACAAGTATGTTTTACTCCAAAAATGAAAGATGAAAATAGATTAGAAATTATGACATTTACATTAAGATTAAAAGAGAAAACTCATAAAATCATTTCAATAGATACAGAGAAGGTAGCTGAAAAATATTCAATACCCATTCATGTCTTAAAAAGTTTCTTGAAATAAAAATAGAATGGATGTTGTGTAACTTCCCCTTTTCCCAAGAAACTAACATCAATCAACTAGATCGGTGGGCATCCCTTGTCTACCAGTGATGGACTTAATAGTACGGTATCTTTTTTTTTTTTTAAGATTTTATTTATTTATTTGACACAGAGAGAGAGATCACAAGTAGGCAGAGAGTCGGCAGAGAGAGAGGGGGAAGCAGGCTCCCCGCTGAGCAGAGAGCCTGATGTGGGGCTCAATCCCAGGACCCTGAGATCATGACCTGAGCTGAAGGCAGAGGCTTAACCCACTGAGCCAGCCAGGTGCCCCGGGTGTCTCTTAATAGTACAAGATAGTGGAGGGTGGGAAAAGTGTTGAGATCAGGTTATTTACTTCTCTAATTTCCTCCTTCTCAGTTCATACCTTCTAGTAAAGTTACCTTCCCTTAGTTCTAGTAACCACTGCCTTTCTTTGCCCTTTCAGGCCCAGAGATGGTATAGCATTATCTCTTGTAGGTGGCCTTGAACTGTGACCACACCTTTGTAAACAGTCCTTTTATTAAATTGACAGAGTGTACCTTCATATTTTGACAGTCTTGATGCCCACAGAAGGCAACTTCCTTAACCTGGGAAGAAGTATCAGAAACTTAAGAGAGAAAGCCATACTTAAAAGGAGAAATATTAGAAGTACTTTTCTTAAATGAGAAGAAGATGCCCTTCCTTTCCCCCATCACTACTTCCATTCACCACTGTACTGGAAGTACTTAAAAGAAATATATGGATTCAAAAGGAACAATAACAGGGGCACCCGGGTGGCTCAGTAGGTTAAGCCTCTGCCTTCAGCTCAGGTCATGATCTCAGGGTCCTGGGACCGAGCCCCCCGCATCAGGCTCTCTGCTGGGCAGGAACCTGCTTCTCTCTCTCTGTCAAATGAATAAATATTAAAAAACAACAACAATAACAACAACAACAAAAAAAACCCCTTACAATCACCATAGATTTAACTGTCTACATAGGAAACAATCAGAACTGTTATAGTTCAATGAGATTACTAGATAAAAGAAATACAAATATCATTCCTGTATATTAGCAATCATTGGGAAACTTAATTCAAAAAAATATTTATGACAGAAACAAAAAATGAGTTACAAAGAGTAAGCTGAACAAATTATGTAAAAGACTTTTACAGAGGGAATATAAAATACATTCTTCAAAAAAGAGGCCATGTGTAGCAGTTAAAAGTACATATTCAAGAGCTAGACTGAGTACATTCAAATCCTGGGGCCATCATCAACTATTTGAATGATCTTGGTAAAATTATTTCAACTAATGATGCCTTCATATGTACAGGTATAAAATGAGGATAATATAGACCCTACCTCACAGGTTTTTTCTGAGGATTAAACAAGTTAATACTGGAAAAGCATTTATATTAGTATTTGTTTTTTGTTTTGGCTTGTACTGTTTTTTTCTACTTCATCTAAATGAGCTAAAACTACAAAATTCTTAGAAGAAAATAAGCATAAATCTTCATAACTTTAGATATGACACCAAAAGCACAAGCAACAAAAGAAAAAAAAAACAGATAAATTGGACTTCAGAATTTTAAAACATTTGTGCTTCTAATCACTACCAAGGAAGTGAAAAGACAACCCAAAGAATGGAAGAAAATATTTGCAAATCATTTACCTGATAAGGGACTTTTATCTAAAATACATAAAGAACTAAAACTAAATTAAAAAGACCACCCAATGAAAAAATAAGCAAAGGATTTGAATAGACATTAGTCCAGAGAATAAATACAGATAGTCAATAAGTACATGAAAAGATACTCAACATCATTAGCCATTAGGGAAATGCAAACCAAACAAACTGCAATGAAATTAGCACTGCGCTCTCAACAAAACAAAACAACACAACAACAAAAACCACAAAAAAATAAAAACCACTTCAACACTCACTTGGAGGGCCATTAAAAACAAACAAACAAAAACCCTAACAAGTATTGGTGAGGATGAGGGGAAATTGGAAACTTCATACATTGCTGGTGAAAATATAAAAAAATGGTAAAGCCTCTCTGGGACACACTGACAGTTCCTGTAGAATATTCAAATGACCCACCAATTCCAAAATTGGAAACAGGTATTCATGCACTAATGCAGGAATGTACACAGCCAACACTACTTACAAAAGCCAAAAGATGAGAACAACCCAAATGTCCATCAGTGGGTGAATGGATAAACAAAATGGGGTATGGAAGTAAAATGGAATGTTGCTCTTCCATAAAAAGGAACAAAGTTTATGGACATTGGGGAGGGTATGTGCTATGGTGAGTGCTGTGAAGTGTGTAAATCTGGCGATTCACAGACCTGTACCCCTGGGGCTAATAATACATCATATGTTTATTAAAAAATTTAAAAAATATAAAAAAAAATAAAATGAAAAAAACAAAAAAAGGGAACAAAGTACTGATGTAGATGAATGTAGATGAACTTTAAAAACTTTAAAAACATTATGCTAGGGGTACCTGGGTGATGCAGTTGGTTAAGCAATCAATTCTTGGTTTTAGCTCAGGTCATGAGACAGAGCCACAAGTTGGGCTCCACACTCAGCCCAGAGTCTGCTTGAGATTCTCGCTCCCTCACCCTCACCACCTCCTGCTGATGCTCTCTCTCCCTCTAAAATGAGTAAATAAATCTTTAAAAGAAAAAAACACTATGCTAAAAAACCAATCTAGGCCCATATTATACATAACTCCATTTATATGAAATATCCTGGGGACAGCTGGGTGGCTCAGTGGATTAAGCCTCTGCCTTTGGCTCAGGTCATGATCCCAGGGTCCTGTGATCGAGCCCCATATCGGGCTCTCTGCTCAACAGGGAGCCTGCTTTCCCCTCTCTCTCTGCTTGCCTCTCTGCCTACTTGTGATCTCTGTCAGATAAATAAATAAAATCTTTAAAAAAAATTTTTATATGAAATATCCTAAATAGGTAAATCCATAGAAAGCAGATTAACAGTTGCCAGGGATGGCTTAACAGGTACAGGGTTTTCTTTTGTGTGATGAAAACATTTTGTAACTAGACAGAGTTGAAAACACTGTGAATGCACTAAAAAGTATTCCTAGTCATAGAGTTAATTAGATGTTAAGTATGCTGTGTCCCTTTCCCCAAATTTAAAGATTCATAGTACGCATTAGCACATTTAAGGTTCTAAAAAAAATCCTGTAGTAAAAATAAAAACACTTACTTAAATTCAGCACTTCTGCAATGGGTGCTCAGTTAGGGGGTATTTATTTATTTATTTGTCATAGAGAGAGAGAGAAAACAAGTGGGTAGAATGGCAGGCAGAGGCAGAGAAACAGGTTCCCTGCTGAGCAAGGAGCCCGATGTGGGGGCTTGATCTCAGGAGCCCCCTGAGATCATGACCTGAGCTGAAGGCAGCAGCTTAACCCACTGAGCCACCCAGGTGTCCCAATTAAGGGGTTTTTAGAATGTAGGTCTAAATCCATTAACTGAAATCAATTTAGCAGATCGAAATAAGGATCTTTAAGAAATGAAGTAGAGTAGGGCCACCTGGTTGGCTCAGTCTGTTGGGCAGCCGACTCTTCATTTCAGCTCAGGTTGTCATGAGATCAAGTCCTGAGTTGGGCTCCTCACTCAGCACGGAGTCTATTAGAGTTCCTCTCCTTCTGTCTTTTCCCTGACCCCTGCTCATGTGTGTGCTCTAAAATAAATAAATAAATTTTTAAAAAATGAAGTACAGTGGAAAATACTAGACTGTAAAGATACACATTATATTCATGAAGCTTTTGTTTTAGTCACATATACAATATACCAGGACATGCTATCAAATGAATTTCTTACCTAGTCATCAGAAAACTATGAAAAACTCTTTGAATACAATGAAACAAACCTTACCTCACTTACCATATTATAGAATTCCAGCTCTCTTGGACCCCGTGGAGGTGGCTGTAACTGTTTCAGAACTGTGCCATCTGGATGTTGCAGGATACCTATAGAACAAAAATCAGCTATTTTTTAATGCTTTGATAATGGTATACCTTGTATCACAAGAATAGATGAGTTCTTAAAGTTACAGATAAATCACTTTCATAAAAATTAAGGGGTCTGTTTTCCTTATTTCAGAAATTTCAACATTTAACCAATAGATTTCAGTGCTTGTTATATGCAAAGCACCAGAACACAAATTGTGAAGTGTGGTTTTATTGTCTCAAATTATTATTCCCCTTAGAGCCCTCTGAGACTTTCTAATAAATTTAGAATATATTTCTAAATTTTATAGAAATTCTTCAGTAATAGTCTTTCTGGGAGAAAGTAATTTATACTTAAACAAAAAATCACAAGCAGTAGTGTAAACTGATTCCACTCTTGTTTACAGAAAAAAAACAAATATGTTAAAGGTGGTACTATATGAACTTCCTATTTTGTAACTTTTTAATAAGTTTTTTTCATTTATCATAAGAAACCAACTAAAAATTTTTCCTGATTCAGATGCACCACGTACAGATTGTATGAGGGCACATAACCACTGGGAAAAGTGGCAACTGAAATCAGATACCAAGCCTGAAGCATGAAGGGGCAACTTCTCATAATCAGCCCACTCAAAGGAGGAGCCTTTTCCTAAAGCCATCACATATGTACTAGCACTGGTCCTGTCCCTATACCAAGAAGACTCATTACCAAATTTATATGCTAAAATCTTAAATTTTCAAATACTGAGCTTTTCACCAAATCACATGTTAGAACACAACAGGGCTCAAATAAGTATCATAAGGAAAAAAAGAGAATAGGTCAGAAAAAATTCCTTCACTGAAAAAATTAAATTAAAGAACAACAACAACAACAACAACAACAAAAAACCTCTTGGACTTCTACTTTCACTTAAGAGACAGAAATCTAAAAATCCCATCCCAAGACTCAGGGTCAGAGGGCCTACCTAATATTGAAGCTGCACCAAGACAACAAGAAACACCCCTACAGCCTTGCATCAGGCTGGTAATTACCAAGTAATAAGCAACAGTAGCCTACATTTGGAGAAAAGGCATGAACATGGAGAAAAATTATCTCTGAAGCATGAGTGCACAAAGAAGACATAAAGTAGAGGGTTAAACAGGAATGTTGAGAAAACTCCTCTGGCAAATCAACCCCATTCTAAACATAAGCTTACAAGAGAAAAACTTCAAGCCTGAAGTGCACTAAAGGTGTTATTAGTCTGCTCCAGCTTCCATAACAAAATACTGCAGACTAAGTGGCTTAAACAACAAAAATTTATTTTTTCACAATTCTAGAGGCTGGAAGTCACAGATCAAGATGACAGCCTATTTAGCTCCTGGTGAGAGTTTTCTTCCTAGCCTGTAGACAGCTGCCTTCTTATTTTGTCCTCACATAGTGGAGACAGTGAGAGAAAAAAAAATACTCTCATGTCTCTTTTTTAAAGGACACTCATCCTTTTGGGTTAGGCCCACCCTTATGCCCTCATTAATCTTAATTATCCCCACAAAGACCCTCTCCAAATACAATCATACCAAAGAAGGTTGTTCCTTCAGTGTATGAACTTGGGGCAACATAACATTCAGTTCATAACAGAAAGTAAGTATAACAACAAAATTCAAACTTGGCTCTATTCCTGACTAGATTGGCTCAATCACCAACACTAACTGCCTAGCAGAAGAGGTATATTCATTTCAGTCATAAATACTGTTTGCTTTCAGTCTCACATGTGATGTCCAGAATTTAATAAAAAATTACAAGACATATGAAAAAGCAAGGGAAAAAAACACTTCCAAAAGAAGATGCAACATATAGAAGAGTTTCTGAGATGATACAAATGTCAGAATTATCAAAGGAACTTAAAATAACTACAATTAACATGTTAAAGATTATAACAGAAAAGGTAAGCAACATGCATGCAAAGATGGGGAATTTCAGTACAGAAACTTAAGAGACAAATGGAAAGTTAGATGTGAAAAAGGGAGCAGCACCTGGGTGGCTTAGTCAGGAAAGTATCTGCCTTCAGCTCAGGTCATGATCCCAGAGATCTGGGATCCAGTCCCCAAACAGGTTCCCTGTTCAGTGGGGAGTCTGCTCCTCTCTCCCTCTGTCCCTTCCCTGGCTTGTGTTCTCTCCTCTCTTGCTCACTCTCTCTCAAATAAAAAAAGAAATTAAAAAAAAAAAGAAGAGTAAAGAGACAAAAACATGCTTTCCATGGGCTCATAAGCAGACAAAATTTAGAAGAGGAAGGAATCAGGAAGTCTGATGACAGGTCAACAGCAATTACCCAAACTGAAACACAAACAGGAAAAAAAAAAAGTGGAAAAAGTTAGAAGAAAGCATGTACAATCTGTGGAATAATTTCAAACAGCCTAAGATAACTATTAGAATCCTAAAAAAAGAGAAGGCATGCTCATGTTCACTGAAGCTATGATTCACAATAGTCAAAAGTGGAAGTAACCTAAATGTCTATCAACAGATGAAAGATTAAAAAAATGTGATATATACATATAATGGAACATTTTTCAGCCTTAAAAAAGGAAATTTTTTATTCCATGCTACAATATGGATGAACCTTGAGGGCATATGTTAAGTGAAATGAGACAGTCACAGAACTACAAATACTGCATGATTCCACTTACATAAGGTATTTAAAGTAGTCAAACTCTTAGAAACGGCAATTACAATGCTGGTTTCCAGGTCCTGGAGGAAGGGAGAGGGGAATTTGTTGCTCAAGGAATAGTTTCACTTTTGCAAGATGAAAAAGTTCTAAGAGAGATGTTGCACAAAAATGTATAGTTAACACTACTGTACTGTATGGTTAAAATGATTAATATGGTAAATTTAATGATGTGGGGCTTTTTTTTTTAACTACAATGAAAAAATTATGTATGTAGTGGGATTACAACTATGTAAAATAAATGCATGTTCAAATTTCTATCTGTGGCAAGAACTTTCTAGGTAATTTTTATTTCTTTTTTTGTAACTTTCTCCAGGAGTTTCTATAATAAACACACTGCTTTTATTATGAGAAAAAATATATGACATGAAAAATTCAAATATGCTAAAATGATTATACATTCTATTTAATCTCAATTATGTAAACAAGTTATTGAAAAAGATGAAGGGAAAAGTTTTTAAATGACAGAAAGGGTATGAGGAAATATTTGACAAGACAATGTCTAAAATGTTCTAAAACTAATGAAAAACCTAAAAACACAGAGACGGGAATTCTGAATAGGATAGAAAATACAAACTCCTAGACATTTTTTTTTTTTTAAAGACTACTCATTTATTTGACACAGAGAGCGAGAGATCACAAATAGGCAGAGAGGCAGGCAGAGAGAGAGGGGGAAGCAGGCTCTGTGCTGAGCAGAGAGCCCGATGCGGGGCTCGATCCCAGGACCCTGAGATCATGACCTGAGCTGAAGGCAGACGCTTAATCCACCGAGCCACCCAGGCGCCCCCAAACTCCTAGATATTTTAAATATAAAGACAAGGATGAGTTAAAAGTAAAAGGATAGGAAAAAAGACTATACTAGCAACTACCATTCATAAGAAAGTTAACATATTATTATTTCCATATATCGGACTATGTTAACAATAGAGAACTCAAGAAAAAGGAATGTTATCATATGTAAAAAGGGACATTTCTTAAGTCAATTCATTTAGACACAGCAATCCTAAATGTGTGTACCTAATAAGAACTTCAAAATAAGTGAAAAAAAAAGTGACAGAACTGAGAAGAGAGACAAACCTGCAATTACTCTCCCCAAAATTGATAAAACATTAGTAGTGACACATAAAACTAAACAGTATCAAACAATCACATTGACAGGTACAGGATACTATATCCAAAAGAATACACATTTTTTCATGTACAAATGGAACATTTACCAAGACTGACTATGTGCTGAGTGATTAAAAAAAAAAAAAAAAAAGTTTAAATTTAAAAGGACTGAATATTCTCTGTCCATAATGGAAATAAGATATTTGGGAAAATACCAAATAGATGAGAAGTAAACACACTTGTAGTTAATCCATGGATCAAAATACACAAAGGAAATTAAAAAACATTTTTAACTAAGCAATAATAAAAACTAACGTAACAAAATTTGTGAAATGTATCTGAAGTACTGCTTAGAACTCAGAGGAAAATGAGTAGTTTTAAATGCTTCTGTTAGAAAAAAAGAAAAAGGGGGAGTTCGAACTTAAGATGCTAGAAAAAAGTAAAATATTAACCCAAAATAAGTGGAAAGGCAGGATCAAATAAAAACAAAAACAATGAAATAAAAATAGACAACAGGAAAAAAAATCAATGAAAAAGATTCTCTGAGATCAATAAAACTGATAAAACTCTAGCTAGATGGAGCAAGAAAAAAACAAATTACCATAATTAGGAATAAATGAAAGATGGGGTGTCACTATAAATGCTATAAGCATTAAAGTCATAAGACAGTTATGAACTTCATACCAATAAATCCAACTTAAATAAAATGAATAAACTCCTTTACACATAAATTATTAAAACACAAGAAGGAGAAAACCCGAGTTGCCCTAGGTCTATGAAGAACACTGAATTGATAATTTTAAATATCTTTATAGATAACTGTAGGCCAAAATGGTTTCAACAGTAAATTCTATCAAACATTTACAGAAAAAGATAATAGCACTCTTCCCAAATTTTTTTTAGAAAACAGGAAAGTGGGGAACATTTCCCCACTAATTTTATGAAACCAGCATACTCTTTTTAAAAACCCAACAGACTTAAAAGAATATTATAGACCTCATGAACACAGTCATAAAAATATTTAATGAAACATCAGTAAACTTAATCCAGTAATATATTATCACGACCATGAGGACTTATTCCAGGAATGCAAAGTTGGTTGAAATATTTCAGTATGATTAAATACGTTGATATTTTGGATAAGACAGAATTCTCAAAGAGAAAGAAGAGATATATAAATACAGAACAGGGGAAGGTAAAGAAAAACCCTGT